TTTTTGTTTAAATTCATCTAACAGCATTCCAAAAAATGCTATTGAAGCTTTAAAAAAATGTTACAATGTTGAATTTCCACCAATATATGGCCTGTTGAAAATATTATGTCCCATACCTGTTACTAATGCATCTGTTGAAAGGAGTTTTTCAACACTAGGTCGACTTAAAACATTTTTGAGAAATCAACAAGGAAACGTTTGATTGTCGGGCCTTGCATTGATGACGATGTTGAGGATATTGTTAATATTTTTATTTAAAAAATAGAAATATGAATTTTACATAATATTAAGACAAAAAAATGTCAAGTCTACCTACTGTAGAAAAATGCTTAATTTATTATGTATCTTATTTAATAATAAATATATATTAATACATTTTAATTCCTATATTTGTATCATTTATGTCATAATTAAAACCACCAGTTCCCAAAAAAATTTTTAGTTGTAGCTATGCTGGGGATAAATTGGCCCATAATGAAAATAATTCTTATATACGCCACTGTACTAAGTAGTCATGACCAATGGTGCCACTAGGATCTATTTTCAATGGATATAACCCCCGTATACATATAAAAAAATGGTTATCTTCACGTTAAAATTTTACTTTTAAAAACATTTCGCCCAAACTAAATGACCTTACGCCAGTTCTCGGAAAAATGCGAGGGGACTGGGAAGTGATGAAAATCAAAACCATAAAACTTTAAAATGTCTAATATATTTTAATTTTTTTAAATAAATAATTATTTATGAGGTTGTTTAATCAGTGAAAATTGTGGTTGAACCCTTTACTCCTTCYCAAGGTACTATTGTAATTAGATAATTATTTAAACATAAAGCTGATGTAAAATTAGTTATTAATTTGAGGTTAGCTACATCTTTGTAAATGCATACATTTAATTCAAAAGGTTCCTTCTATCTGAACTGAAGAACTTTTAGGTTCTCACTAAAGATGTTTTGACATTAAGTTTTGACTAAAAAAAATGAACTGCTTGTGTTAATGAGGAAAAATTTTGTGAATTTTTAGATGTGCTGATTAATAAAAAACGTTCAAAATGTCTCCTAAACAATTTTATATTTTGATAAAATACCTTTTGGTTCCAATCCAACGTATACTGCTCAATGGTATAGGTACTTAATGTAAGGTTTTAAATTCGGTAACAATCATATTGTACCCTATTGGCTATTGGTAGGTACATGATTCATAATTCTTTTTAATCAAGCCCGAAATAATTACTACAATGATTTAATGTACAATTTTGCCATGTCGTATTAGATTTCGGATTTATATGCACTGAAATAGGTAGGTAATCAAAGTACAGTAGAATCTACGGTATAATCCGAAACATATCAGACCACGCTACTGCAGGATTAATGTGGGGTTCACAAAARACGCATTTTTACTTATTGAATTTATGTATTTCTACAACAAAAATCTTTACAAAGTAATCATTTCTCATAAATTGATTTTAAATATTTTATTGTAATTCAAAATCCAATAAGAAACCGTGGTCATAATATTATTATGAAATTTAAACTAAATTTTCGAATTTAATAAACACATTTAAATTTTTGTCGATAAAAAAACATAAGTTTTATGTAAGACTTCTGGTAAGGTTTTTAATAGCATCTTAAAAATATCTAAGGTACATAAGTACGAATAGTACGATTATTTTTATATGCATTTAAAGTTGATAAAATTTGTATAATACTTTCAGTTAAAAATAAACTAATAGAAAAAGCATAGCCAAAATAAAAAAATTAATATAAAGTCCCCCACAAGTTTTCCTGCTTAAATAAACAAAAACTATACCGAAAAGTTATGCTATTTAAAGCTTAGATATATTTTCGATTTTAACCAAATATTTTTAATTATTTAATTTTTTTTATTAAAAATTAGTTAAACAAGTGTGATTAAATTTTGGATAACATACCATTTCTGCTCAAAGTTGTTTTTCTTGTATAATTAAAAATAAAATCCAACCCATTCTTAACAAAAAACATACAACAAAGCGGTACTCACTCGTTCAACCTTTTTTTCTCATGTTAAAATCAAAATTTCTGTTAATAGTTATTRAATATTTGAATTCATACATCCAATTTACTAATTATTCAAAAAACAAATGAAGGAAAGAGTATTTCAGTCTTGGCCTATGATTGGGTATAATTTTAACATTTTCCCGGGAGTAAAGAAAATAAAGTTTCACTTATATTTGAAGAGTTTACTAAGAAAATTTCCGTTYGAAAGTGTGGTAGCTGATGAATGAGTAAGGTCAGCGTGAAATGACTAATTGTAAAACGTGTTGACAATAATAACTAAAACATAATATTTTCTTAAATTTGTAACTTATTCTTATACCAAAATATCTAATAAACATTAAATTTTTATCCCCTCTGATCATAACCAAACTTTACAACCACAATCATATTCAATTATACATTTTAATATTAAAGTGTTCTGTAACATATATGTACTTATCTGATGTTATGGAATAATATTACACATCATATAAATAAAAGCACAATGTAATAATGTTTTGGTGTATTGAGATAAATATATAGCTGTAAAAATTGCTTTACATCTTTAAAAAAAAATTATTTTCCATTCATTTAAATTATAAAATACTGGAAATATTTTTAAAAAATATGGTATTTATTAATTTTTTTATGTATCAATAAAAACATAGGTATTTAAATGTTTGTTAATTTAAGAAAACACATGTTTTGAATTTAATCAGTTTTATTGAGTGTATAGATATTTTAATAAAAAAATGATATTGTTTTACTAAAACAATTTAATTTATAATTTAAAAAAAAAATTAATCCATAGTAGCATCTCCTCCTTCAAATTGTTTTTCTTCATAGATATTATCATAAAATTTTGGAAGTTGATCTCCAAGTACCAACTTTCTTTGAATTTTTCCAGTTTTGTTTATTATTCCCATACGCACAACACCTCCACTTGAACCATCACGTTTAATTGCCAATGAAATAGCTAAACAAAATATACTCATAATTAAGTAATAGTATTAATCAAAAGTAAACTTACCGTTAAGTACAAGGTTTTCACATTCTTGTTGGGTCATTCCATCTTTATATTGTGAATCCATAAAACCATACAAATAGGAACTACCAGATCCACCAATCGCAATGTTTTGTTGAACAATTGTACCACTTACATTGATTGAATATACCTATGATAAAAGAGTGGCRTATTTATAATAAATTTTAATAATATAGATACTAAATCAGTCATTATTATAGTGTTTACAGATAGAAGAAATTATATATAAGTTGGTTTTTTTGTCTTAATATTTCTATTACCATAAATTTACTTTTACATATTTAAGCAAAAAAATTGACTTAAATACTAGTATTAAATTTATATTTGAATAAGTTAAATATATGTCTAAATTGTGTTGTTAGCATAAATGTTCCTATACTATATCTTATACCTACAACACTTTTTGAGTTTGAGATTTTCGAGTGTAAGTAAAAGCCTCTTAGGCATAGCCAGCAGCTGGCTAGGACAATTTTTTATTTAAAATATATTATTACATAATATAGATCTGAATCAATTTTTCCATTAAATAGATAATTGATATTATGTAAAATTGAACCTATACTTTACAATACCTAACCTAACAAATTTTTTAAATTTTTTTTATTGATTTTYTGACTATACAATATAATTTGTAACACATATTATTAAGATAACATTTATTATATTTGAATAAAAAAATACAAAGTAAAATTAAAAATTTTTAATCTGTGTCYGATGTGTTCTCCGTCGACAGAAGTCTGAGTTGTTTGATATTTAGCGAGTATCTACTCATAGAATTGACTACATGTCATGTTATCAAAACTTGTTTTAATTATTAATGAAGCCTCAACAGTACTTATATTTAATTTATCTTGTGATTTTGTCMACGTGCTATTCATTGATTCAACTTGTTATTTTATAACTACATCTTGTATATATTTTGTTCATAATTATCTCAGATCTTACTTGTTACTTTTTTCGATTAAATGTCTAATAAAAGATAAAAGAAATTATGGAAGTCTCATTCCAGGACAATATGCTGTTTTGAAATACATTGTTGTCTAAAACAAACAACAACGTAACAAGTTACGACAAATAGGTGTTTAGTCAAGATTACGAATTATATGATAATATAATAACCATTGTAATAACAATAACACTGCCTGCCTGTGTATCATACAATTTATAATTTTGACTAATAATAAAAAAACTGGTCGCTTTAATCTGCTTACATCAGCGATTAAATTTTGCACAAGCTTATAGTGTTTAGTACACTTTTATTTATTCTAAGAGAGCGCATACAAAAACAATAAATTTTAAGATAATATTAAATTTATTAATTACTTGTCCACCAAATCTGCTGTCCCATCCAGCTACAATAACCCCAGCAGTCAGCTGATGTCTGTTTTCATAAATTAGATTTTTAAACACATTGGCAGCAGCTCTGACAAGAGGCGGCTCATTCATTTGAATGCTATGAAATAAATATATTTTTTATTTGAACATCTGTTAAACAATATATTATTAATTACCTTGTTAAATCCATGTAGTATGCAACAATATCAGTGATGGCTTGTGTATCGGCAGCCGAACCTGACCGGCAACAGTAAATATTGTCACATACTTTTGTTAATTTATCCGTAACCCGGTTAGCAATATATGCTCTAGAAAGCAAAACATAAATGATATCAGTATATGAATCAAATCTATCTCAAATGTATTAAAAGTGTGTTTTAATTATCAGTATTTCAATTACCCAGTCGTAGTACGAGAGTCAGCTCCGATTACAACACCGCCGTCATAAATAGCAGCAATGATGGTAGTCTAAAATTTTTATTTAAAAAGATACATAGGTAGTTACGATTCGTATACAAATGGTGTACACAAATATAACGATAAAATAAAAACTGTGAGTAATAATTTATTTACGAAAATTAGTAATTACTTACACCAGTGGTTACTTCATCCTTTGTGATATCGTGAATGCCGCTGTCTTGAAATYCACTATAATGAAGGAGAGACATAGTTTTAAACTTTTTTGAATTTATTACAATTCAATAGTTTGGAACAGCGAGCTGCAAGTACTAACGTTTATGATTATAAAAATTATAAGAATYGAAATAAATAATATTAAATTATGCTGATAATACTTCAATTATTTGTACATAACCCTAAAAAAGAAATCGCATAATCATTGCTAAGAAGAAGAACCATTACCAC